TTATGTTCGATTCACGTGTGTAGAATTTATTTTTCTCTATTCAAATATTTGACAATATTATCACTATGAGCTGTGAAGRAAACACAAAGAAAGAAGACGTGTGTGAAATCTGTGGTGGTAAAGAAGTCAAGTATCGTTGCCCTTCTTGTATGAGGCGGACATGTAGGTAGGGACTTGTTTTAACTTTAATTAATCATTTTACCATTCTCAATTTTTAACTTTTAAGCTTGGTTTATCTACGTACATTTTAAATTAAAGTTTGCAGTGTGTCAAGCATCATAAAAAATCGTATAATTGTGATGGGATACGTTGTAAAACGACGTATGTATCCAAAACTGACTACAACTACAATAACATGATCAGTGGTGAGTATGTCACTCAGTCAAGTTGCGTCAATGAATACTGATTTCTAGGATTTGCTGTTTAAGGCAAGTTCAAATAAAGACATAAGCAAAAACAGAAGTTGGTTCACATTTTGTGCTGTTGTTATGGTTTCCCCAGTTCACACATACAAAAGGCATACAAAATTTCTTCTTTTGTTTCTTATTATGTCATTAGTGTGAATCAGCCCTTGGGGCATTGTTTCTTTTGCTACAGATTACAGGTTCCTGGAAGATACTGAAAGAGTGGCTTATAGTGCAAGTTCAAATAAAAAACACAAAAATTTCAACCGATCTGTAAGTAAATAGATCTTTAATAGTATTTTTCTAAATATATGAAATAACTACAGATAAAAAAATGCATTTTAAGGTGGCTTCCTATAGTTTTTTTTTTCCGACCATACATCTCCTTTTAAATTTGCTTTTTGAAAATATTCAAAAATTACGTCCATAAAATATTTGTCAATATTGCTCGAAATCGAAAAAATGAATTTGTTTTCGACTATTCTAAAACGTTGTTCAACAGTTTGAAGTTAATGATGATGTCTACCGCTTTTCAGGATCTCATCAATATTTTGGGATATTTGGCAAGAACGAATTTCGATAAAATGCGATTTCCGTTGCCTAGGTAACGTTAATGGAGCTAAATATTATGCCAAACAAAACTTCGATCAATGGTTTATTACTGGTCCAAACTCCAAATAAATCGGTGAATGGCAAGATTTTCAAGAAATGAATTTAAAAGGAGGTATGGTAACAAAAAACTATAGAAAGCCACCTTAAATCATCTGTCTGTCTAGGCTGTAACATTGTTGAAAAARGCAAGACAAAATGGAGTCACTCTAAAATTAATGCCAATTGGAATGAGTAAAAGAATGACAAACACTTCTCACTTTAATCACAGGTAATTTATCATGTTAAATGTTACAAATTATCACATTAGCTRGTTAGTAATTGGTACTGTTATTTTCCAAGAATTATAGTAATAATCAGTCACAGGTGGTATTTCTATCAATAAGTTTMACATTTCAGAACTAAATGCATCATGTGGCGAGTAAGATGGTCATTCCCACAGGCCGATGCAGAGTATGTCAACAAAAAGTAAGCTTTGAAAGTTAAAAAAGTGTTTACCTTWGGGTATTGAATTATGCTGTCATTTTAGAGTTTCAGAAAATAAGGTACTGAAAGACTTGCTTAAAGGCTACATTGATCCATTAGAAAGTGATCCAGTAATTCGGCAAAGGTAAAGTTATGTCTCCATGCTTCAATGATTTTGTCAGAGTTTGGTTATTGTTGACATTTTTGGTATGATTTTGTAGACTCAAGTCATACATACAGACTCCTGTCGAACAGGTTTCTGTTTTCTTAAAGATGGAGTATCAGCCTGCCAATCAAGMAAGGTGTTTTTCTTTGAATATTTTATGTCATCTACTAGATTATGTACAGTACATCTGCTATTCACCCTTTTGCTTTTAAGAAATGYTTAATTTCAACTATTACACATTTTATATTTTGTAGATACTTTTCACTTGATCTAAATCAAACTCTAAGGGAGTGTCTTTGGGGGAAAACAATCATTGAATTTCCTACATTCCATGTTGTATTACCTGATAAAGCAGACATGTATATAGTACAAGACTCATCAGCAARACAAGATGCTCAACAAACAATGAAAGTTAAGGAGAACCAGAACACAAGAGAAACTGTGACAAGTCAGCATTGTAACTCAACTGAAAGTATAGACTATCCACAGGATGAATCCAGTGAGCGCCAAGAGAACCAGGCAGATAAATTAATAGAAATTGTAGAATCCTAGCAATTACAATGTATGTATAATGTATGTAATATTTGACATTTTTTTATGCTACTTTTGTATGAAATACCATCACTCCAAGGGATATTTAACAATTCCAGTTAGTCCATTTTTTCCCAAAAAATTATGGGGAAAATTTGAAAAAAAAAGGCTGTACAGAACAATTTTTCTCTGCATACTTTCRAGTATTTTTGCTTCATTTGATGCAATAAACCATAGTTCAGTAGCCAATAAGAGTGCTGGATTTGTGGTAGCCCATAGTTTCATGATAAATACTAATAGTGATTATATTAGTAACTTTTACCAAACCTCCTAAGGCTGAGGGGGTGTTAATTTTAAAACCACTAGTATCATAAAGTAGCCATTTTATTACTTTGATCACTGAAACAATAYAAGACACGTGTAAGGTACAACATTTCATATCTTTATTGATTGGAAGAAAAGCCTTAGCAACTGAATGTCAAGCAAATGTTGAAACATTATTACAATGAGTCAAGTGAAACACCATAGAGCTCCGGTGAATAACAATAGTGATAACGTACCAGAAWAGTTTCCAGAAAACCATGAAATTYAGTGTTACAGCTGTGACCAGTCCAAAAAAAACTTTACAATGCAATTATAAGAAATCAACTGAAGTTCTTTGGCAACAACTGTCACCCGTTTGCTGGAAAATGTTGATTGACAGCAGACTACCACTAATATTGCTTTTCAAGAATTTTGTTCAGTCTAGTTGTGTAGCAGTGGCAGTTAAACCTGTGAAAGTATTGTGGAAATAGATAGTTCAAATACACTTCAGCATAATTCATATCATCTTTTGTACTATGCTGCCACAGCTATTAGAAATTATTATTCACAGGTTTATGAAGACCACTAATAAACTAGTCACTTTCACAAAGATTGTTGAAATCAAAAATACAATATCATTATACCATATTTTGAAGTTTTGAGTATCAAAATGACACGTGTAATGATTACTTTTGATTTCAACAACTTTGTAAAAAAGACTTCAATAACTATTTGCGGTAACAGTATAATTCTGAAAAAAAAAACATGATGAGAAGTTATGAAAGATATAATATAAGAAATATGAACTTTCCAGTATTAATAGTGATTATATGTAGATCTGTCTAACATCCAATTAATACATTTTGTAGAAAATGAGAGCATTGCTAAGGATTTTCAATCCATTTGATTATGAGACACTGACAAAACTTGTCAATAAAACTCCAGTTCATCTAACAAATACATCAGTATTTCTGAAGCTTGAGTTATCCCTGTTTGAACAAAGAAAAATTGAATTATGTTCAGCCAAAAATTCTCACTTGAATTGTATGTGAATCAATCATTCAACTATAAAAATGTCAATCAAATAAAATGTTGAGCGTTATCATAGTTGGCAGTAGCATGGAATGTAACGTACTTAATACTGTCCTGATGTGCTTTGTATTCCATTATTGTGTTAGGTGGAAGGTTGAGTACTCTCTTTAGTGTGTCTCTGAAATATTAATTGTCAATTGATTTTAGCATTTCCATCCCWAAGTAGGATGGTTAACTTGYACTTTGYATTKYTTCACCCAAATGTGAAACTAAGTGAAATTGATGAGCCTTTACCTTATTCGTGTTGTGGTTGCCTGATCTGCTGCATTTCTGTTCCAAATTGATATGATATCCTCCTTAAAAGTGAATTATAATATATATTGTTTATTGTAATGATTCTCACATTAATAKTAGTCATGTCAGCACTGAGAAGATGCCTGCCTAAGTTCACTCCCCCCTAGATACATGTATGTACTTGCACAATGTGATTTGTTAGTGTGTAACAGATTCTATTTACCTGAAACCTKACTGAGATAACAGCACCACAGACCTCAGAACCCACCATAAACTGTTCACCCAGCATGGCTAAAACCTTTAACAAYAATCAATAATTTACACATTTATGTAAAGCCATATAAAAAGAGCTTGATATATACCTAGATAGTGTAGAGAATAAAACTATAAAAACTCTCTTTTTTATGATCTATGAATGGAGATTTGACGTAAGATTTGATCTTAAAACTGATGGATGGAAATTGATTGTGATTTGATATTTGAAATCACCTCATTTTCCATAGTAATTCAATCCCGTTACATTATCCATTGGTGAAGATATAAATACAGAAGGTTATTTATATTCAAATCTTYACTTGCAAAGACTTTTGCAATTGGACAGATCTAATGACAGACAGATTTCAAAAACTTTTTTTCTTCCAAATAAACATTGTATTCCAACTTGCTCATAGGTGTACAGCTTTACAGACATGTTTTCTATTCCCCAAGGGTGTCTACTGGGGTGAGATTAAGTTGTATTGTTTTTCTTGCAAGAATTTTCAATATAAGTCCCAATATTTCATAAAAATCTCAGTGGCATCGCGTTTGTTATTTATCTGGAGTTTTAAATTAAAAACATGCCTAATGCAAATGGATTTTTTGTTGTCTTTAACTTTTAGCTCTTTACAACTGAACAATTAACTGATTGAAAAATGTAAAACACAACTGCATTGAATGGCAGTTGACCCTTTTAATAATCAAACAAAATGAAGCTCATAAASTCATAAAGCAACTAATGAAATAATCAAACCAATTAAATAAATAAAATACATATTTCAAAGTCCAAACACTGTAAGTATATTATACAATGTGACATTAAACATATTCATGATTAATTACGACATACTAAGTTTTCCCAGCAACGTGATGCCAATCCTTTTTTCAGTCTAACAATCCATTTCCCACCACACTTGTTTGCTTCATCCTAAAAAAAAAAACAATAAAAAGTGATGAGGCATGAGTGTGAGTAAGACGAGTGATAATCCAAGGATGGAAAGCATACTGTGCAAATTCAACTTTTGAAGTATGCTTTCCATCCTTGGATTATCACTCGTCTTACTATATGCCAAATTGTCGGATGGTTCTGGTTTATGAGTGTGAGTATTGGCATAATATTATACTATTGTTAATACATGTATTATCATCAAATATCATTATATATCATATTATATCATTATGTCAATTGAAAACGTTTGCTTGCTAGATAAAATCATTGACAAAAATAAATACCACCATACCTCCCAAATTGGCTTGATTCCATCCTTAAAGAGATGAATGTCACTATGTCCTGTCAACTCTCCTGGCATAACCATGAAACTGTAGAATGACCAAAACTGTTCAACCTAAAATTAAAAAAATAGCTAACAATCCCTGCATCTTTTGAATACCTTTGAGAAGTTCTATGGCAAAATCATTACTACTATATGTTTAACTGTATCCTTTTTTGATGGAAATGTTTGATGGTAGTCTTGACAAAAATTGTGCTATAAACATTGCTGGAAAAAAAGAAATTCTGTTGTTGAATACTTACAGATGCAAACTTTCCAACAATTTTGATATTATTTTCATAATTGCTAGAAGACTGGACTTTTCCTGGTGGTCTCCGAGAAAACCAAAAYACATATGGGCACTGTAATGGGTTTTCCCCTGGGTTTGGTTTGACTACYTTGGCTTCAAGCTGTTTTAAAACATATGCATAYGTCAACAATAATTAGCACTAATGTGTACTTCATGAAACCTTCTGATTACACGACCCATTATGATTGGTYGCAAGTGTTTTTTTCTAATTGGAGCCCCTGCAGCTCAATCATTCATTTATATTTATCACATCAAGTATCTAGACTCACCTCAGCCTGATAGGTTTTCCATTCTTCCTCATCTGCTGTATCTGCATCGAAATTTGTTCCATTTTTCTGTAAGAGACAGACATGCATGATTTTTTTACATTCATACAATACAAATACATACTACATTTTGCACACACCTACGCTTCCACTAATAATTTACTGCAAGTGACTTGACTGTCAAGCCAAGTTAATTYCTCTACAAAAACATGACAACCACTTACCTTYTTGGTACTATCTCCGTCTTCATCTTCTTTATCATCTGTACTGTCTTCATTATTGGAATCATCCAGTTTAAGACTACAAATTCAATGGTAAAAACGGTTTGCAAAYACAGAAATACAACATGGCTGGACAAGCTAGAAAGACAMTTGCAAAAGAACTCATCATACTTACGCTTCGAATTTGTTCATTTTTATATAAATATTAAGAAAAATATCCTTGTATAAAATATTTGTTTCTATTTACAAAATAATTCTACTATATACAATTTTTGGCTATAAACAACTGTATTTTGTAACATCCAAACTAACTGCACTTCGCACATCCGTGTGTGTTTTTCTCCCTAAGTTCACACTGCGCAGAATCACCGTGCAACATTACGCTGAATAGAACAGCGGGCGCAAATGATAGGGTTACCTGCGAGGCCTRCATGTATGAATTATTTGAAAATGCATATCTAGACAGCATCAATGCCCAAATAAGTATACTGATAAACATGCTTATAATGATCTGGTATTAATTTGT